GCCCCTGTTAGGATGTATATCACTTTTAAAGTTAGGTCTCTGGCAAGAATCTACTGATTTACAAATGAAAAAAAAAATTTTTGACAAACATTCATTATTTTACTTTAAAAAATGTCTTGGAATATTGGTTCCACAAATATTCCTGCTATCAAACTTCTCTGCTAGGATTCCACCAAACAACAAGCACCAAAGAAGTGAATCCCAAAAAAAATGATACATTTTTGATTGGAGGTCTGGACAATGCTGTGCAATATTCAAACACTCCTGTCCCAAATCAATATGGACCTGAGCCTGCAAGTTGCCCTCTGGGCATGATCTAAGAATGTAGCATAAAAAGTTCAGTGCATGGTTAAGTGTCTTCATGGATTTCATAGAGTTTTAGGATCAGAAGGGACCTCAGTAGATCATCAAGTCCAACCCCCTGCCCTAGGCAGGAAAGAGCTCTGCGGTCAGATGGCCCCAGCCAGGTGCTTGTGTAGTCACCTCTTAAAGACCTCCAAGGCAGGGAAGAGCACCACCTCCCTTGGAGGCTTATGCAGTGCACCCAGAGGGTGGTGGATGTGTCGTTTTCGACCTGGAAAAATGTGGGCACTGGAGTTCCCCAGGGTTCGGTCCTTGGACCAGTGCTGTTCAATATCTTCATCAGTGACTTGGATGAGGGCATGGAAAGCACTCTGTCCAAATTCATGGACAACACCAAATTATGGGGCAAAGTAAACACACTGGAGGGCAGGGAGTGGATTCAGGCAGATTTGGACAGGTTGGGAATGTGGACAGAACAGAATAGGATGCAGTTTAACAGGGGTAAGTGCAAAGTGCTGCAGCTAGGGAAATAGAATCACCAACACACCTACAGACTGGGAGGTGACTTTCTAAGCAGGTCAGCAGCAGAAAAGGGATCTCGGAGTCATAACTGACTCCAATGTGAACATGAGTCATCAATGTGACGAAGTGATAAGTAAAGCCAATTGCACTCTTTCATGCATTAGAAAGTGCATCACGAGTAGGTCTAAGAAGGTGATACTTCCCCTTTATGCAGCATTGGTAAGACCACAGCTGGAGTAATGCGTCCAGTTCTGGGCACTGCACTTCAAGAGAGATGTGGATAACCTTGAGAGGGTCAAGAGGAGGACTACTTGTATGGTTATGGGCCTATAGGTAAAATCCTATGAGCAGAGATTGAGGGACCTGAATCTCTTCAGCCTCCACAAAAGAAGGCTGAGAGGGGATCTTGTGGCCATCTACAAATTCATCAGGGGGGACAGCAAGGAATAGGGGATACTCTGTTTATCAGGGCATCCACTGAGGTTACTAGGAACAACAGCCATAAACTGATGGAGAGCTGATTTTGATTAGACATTAGAAAAAATTTCTTTATGGTGAGGGTTGTTAGATCAAGGTTAAAGTGCTGGGCATTTTGCAAAATTAAACCTTTGAAATGGTTTTCCCTTTAGAGTAAGGCTGCAGTCCTGGAAAACCAGATCAGGTTTTGTCAACTTTTATTTTAAATGCAACTGCAGTGTAAGGACCTAAATTGAAAGGTCTCCCTGAAACTCTCCTCTCTGCAGGCAGTGCTTTTAGCACAGACACCTCTGCGTGCCATCCCTCAGCCATGCAGTGATTTACTTTCCACTGACAAATGAGGCCAGGAAACCTCCAGCCCTAGTGCAGTGATTCTCAACTAGGGTACCTCCAGGTAAGCATGAGCCTATCCTTGCCCAGCTTTTCCTCCTCCCTTCCCACTTCCCCAACAGCCCAGTGCAAAAAGGTAACAGAAATTAAGTTTTGAAATGGGGTGCTGCTCAGTTCATAAAGGTTACAAGATGAAGGCTCAGAGTGTAAAAAGGTTGAGAACCACTGACCTAGCAGACCAGTTTCTTTTACAGCAACTGGATTTAAGTACACTGGGCCAGATTCTGAGCTGAGTTCTACTTCTGTAAATCCAGGAGTAACTCCACTGACACTGGTGGATACTTGTATTACTGCTGGACATAGATGACCCAACTGAGATCACAGCCCTCTTGTGCTACACAGACCCATAGTAACTGCCCCATAAAGAAACTGGGGAGAGGAAACTGAGACACAAAAACATGTCTAATGCTCCAAAGCAGCGCTCAGAAAGAGAACCCTGCTCTCCTATCTCTGAGTCCAGAAGCACAGGTATCATGCTACTTCTTCAGATCCAGCACAGATTTACATCAGAGAGCAGGTTGGCCTAACATCCTATCAGCTGCAGAATAGCAGGGATGGAAATCACAGAAAATGTCCTGGGAGATCATGTCCTGTTTTCACTCCTGTCCAGCTGCCACCTTTATCCGAGTGGCTATGAAGTGAACTCCTAGGAGGTGCTGTAGGGAAGGAAGAGGCAGGGGTGGGTGGGCAGAGACAAGCTGTCTCCCAGGAGGGCAGAGGCAGCCTTAAGGGAAATGGTGCCCTGGGAAAACTTGTATTTTGGCATTCCCCACCCTAGTGCCCCTCCCACTTCCCTCCCCCCAACCCCCAAGTCATGGGTGCTTGTGCCCTGCCACAGAGGGGCTCCATCTGATGGACTGGGGAGCTGGGCAGGGTGTCTGCCAGTGGCAGGGATTGCTGGCAACAGCCCCGTGGAACCTCTGCAGGCCACTGGCCCCAGCCTGGGGCTGCCTGCATGCACTGCCCGGTCCCTCTGATCCCACCCAGGTGGGAGCAGGTGCTGGTCCTGCCCACATGCGCAGAATCTCAGGGAGCCCGCCCCACCCCACTGAGGCCCACTCCCCCCCACCCATGTCACACAGGGTCCCAAGCAACACCCCAGGCAGGCCCCACTATCTGTCGCTTGTGACACCCACGTCTGTACATTGTGTGTGTGTATGTGGGCAGCCCCATGACCATGGCACCCTGGGCGGTCATCCACGGCACCCACCCTAAGGCTGGCTCTGTAGGAGCAACAAGTCAAAGGAAAGTAATTCAGAGCTGGATGGCCTTTGACAGAAGGCCTAGTGATTAGCTGAGCTTCCAAACGACCCAATCCTCATAAACATCTATCCTCCTTTATGACCCCCCTCTTCAAGAATGTTCCCCTAGCACAAGCTGCTTCTTGGCTTCCCCTCACCCTCTGCAGATGATTGTCTGAGAGCTAATTTCCCGGTGTAGGAATAACAGGTCAGCAACTTCAAATGAGAGCTAAAGCAGGCAGTTAATAAGTAAATGATAAAAGGTAACTAAACAAGCTGGTTTCTTGCAGGGACTTGCCTCGAAAGTGGGAGTTACAAACTGTCCTTTCTTAAAAGGTCTCAACCTTTCCTCCTTGCTCAGAGAAACAGTCTCTAACACCATGCCTCCCTTACCTCCTGGGGAGTCATCAGCTGTGACTATTAATTTAGCAGGGGGTCTAAAAGCCTAAAACACCACTCTGCGTGTGGCAGGAGTCAGCTTTCGCAGTCCAAAAGCTGAGCAGTGTCCTGAATATCCATGCAGTCCACTCATTAGTGGAGACTAGCATTGCAGCCAGAGCAAAGGTTTCTGGGTGCCACACAATACTAGGTAAGAACAAGTTCAAGAGAAATGAAAATTATTTTCCTTCAAGAATTAAAACCAACAACAATATGAAAGGACAGGAAAGGCTCCAAGGAATAGGCATGTGCCAGGTCCTTCCCAGCAAGAGGTGCTATTGACTGCAGAACTGCAGTTTCCACTGTGAAAAGACCCCGGAGCTATTCTACTCCCAGCCTCTCCCCAGCAGGAGGCACTGTATAGAATGGTAAAGGATCAGTCTAAAGCTAAGCACAGACAATCAAAAAGCCAGAGGTTGAATTGATTCAATCTTTGCAGGTTAATCTAAGCTGCATAGATTTAACTGATAAGCAAGTAAAACAGACATCCACTTTTGATTCCAGAAATGCAGCCACATGCTGCATTTCCAGCCCAGGCCAGAAGCTGGGGAGTGCTAGAGTACACCTCCTTGCTGGTGGGAACAGATAGCTGGGGCCGAGGCTAGATCACCTACCGGGTGGTGGGGGAGATACAAAGCATTCTGGGATTCTGTGGGACTGTGAGTTAACTTGAATCTGGAAGGGATCTGGGACAGAAGTTCAATAAACTGATGTAACCTAAATCAGTTAAGTCTGATGCTACGTCCATCCAGGTTTATCTTAAACCTGTTTTGGCCATTTTGAAAGCAGTTTATGTGCACTAAACTTCTGTTGTGTTGCAGATTTGAACCTATTTCTGATCACTTATACCAATTTCTGTCCCTAGCCTAAAAGCTCACAATTGCTGCAGCCTTTACCTTTCCTAGAAGGAGGCGCTGTAAGGTGATGCCAAGCTCCTCCATTCCCTTATCCTTAGCCAGCCTAACCCTGTGGGGTCCTATATTCCTTTGAAACCTGAGTTGTGTTGATGGATATATATGCTGGATGCCTCCCTTCCCCTCTGGGCCCTGGGAGCTCAGCCTGCCCTGTCTGGAGGTTCTGTGAGGGAGCGGGGTCTGGAGTTTAAGACAGTTATTGTTACCGGAGGAAGGAATTTTTGGTTCTATAAATCAGTGGCAGGCAGCACTAGGGCCGGCATACTTGGAGTGTGTGAACAAACTTCATTTCCTGGGAGACTGGCCTTCAATCACCCTCTGTCATACTTCACTGATCAGAGGTGGACATGAGAGGAGTTCATTAAGGTGGAAGAAAAATAATATAATAGGTCCTCCCAATGCATGCACTATTCCCGACCCCTGGAGATGGCAAGACACCCCCTTCCCTATGCTAAGAAAAGATCCAAAACACAGACATGCAAGTGTTCTTCTGCCTAAGCAAATTCCATTCCAACCCTCACACCTCAAATACCATCCAGGATTTCTTCCGGCTGAGTTTAGACTTTCTGGTCAACCCAATTTCAATGCTTCTTCATTCAATCTTGTAGTTCAAGGCTCCAGTTAATCAGAGAAAAATTTGGAGCAGGGCTGCTTAGAAAATAAAACAATTTCCAACACAAAACTACAAGAAATACAATATTTTCAAGTCACTTACATTTAACATAGCTCCAAATGGAAGTATCTTTTTTGTTTGTCTCAAAAGTTTTCATTGTTTCTTTCCCTTAATGTTTTCACCTGTATTTTTTCTATCTTGTTTCTCCTTCTTTTCTTATCATTTTCTTTTTATTTATCCCTCTCTCCTCCATTAGTTTTGAAAATATGCATATCAGTTCTTGAAAACAGCTGGGAGAAAGGAAAAGAAGATCAAATAAGGAAGAAAGAAAAATTGTGGAACACTATAAACAAAAAGTGAAAATGTTGAGAAAAAAAATCATGAAAAGCTTCTTAAACAATTTTTCACAAAAGCCTCATCATCTGCTTTGCTCCTGGGGCCAGGAGCATCCCAGTCTGGGGTTGTGTGATCCCAGCATGTGCTCCAACCAGTGGCGGGGGGTTAGACTAGATAATCTATTCAGGTCCCTTCTGACCCCTAACTACTATGAAACTATAAAGCCATTTTTCAGCCAAAAAGAATATTTCCTTGAAAAATGTTGACTAGCTCTAATCAGGATTGAGTGGTATGTCACTCACTTTAAGCCAATACTCTGGTGGTGATGATGATGATGATGATTATGCATCAAACAGAGAGGAAAGAAAAGGCCCTTTAGGTTTTTGAACCAAGTTGGTGGCCCCAGTTTGGGGTGTCTGGGTTACAAAAAACTCCCCTTTGTTGCTCAGAGGATTCTGGGATCTTATTAAAAGGTAGAATTTGGACCAAGAGCACAAAGTGTCTGAAGGGGCTGGGTAATATGAGACAGATTATTTCACCTCTAGGGCACTGGTTCACATCCAGCCTGACGTTGGCAGAAACCTATTTTGTTACCATCTGATGTCTGCTCAGTGACCCATGCGAAACAAGCAGGTGCTCTCAGTCCAGTCCTTAGTGAACAAGAGGTGTCCCCGTCATCGTGAGCCCACTTGCTAGAATCTCAGCAGAGACACTAGGGGCTAAACAGACACCCAGTTATTCCTCTGAACTCAGTGCCAGGAGAAGATTGAAACAAAGGCAAGGCAGCTGAGGAAGAAAAGCCTTCAGCACCATTTCCTAAATTGATCCTACACGTAGATCACCAGCAGTCTTCAGTCTCAGGGGCTATCAAAATGGTGGCACTGTTCAGCAGCACTAAATTCATTTTAGGGAATTGGAGAGAATCTGCGATCATGGGAGAAAAACCTGAATTGAAGCTTCACAGCTGGGAAGTCTGGATGAGAACTGTCTTGTGTTCCATTGTCCTGTCCTTGAGACATGCAATTGTAGGGTTGGAAGGGACTTCAGGGGCAGGTCCCCACATGCAGGGGCGTGCTGTTTGTGGCACCACAAACTGCTTTGTGGCACCAAAAACTGCATGCAGGGAACATGAAAATGTGCATCGCACTGCAAATTTGCAGTGCGGTGGTAAAATTTGCTACTGGGAGATCCTAATAGCAAAGAAAAGCTCAGGGAAAAAAGTTGTGCAGAGGTAGCCAGAACAAGTGGAAGGCTGGCCATCCAGAGCAATGCTCTGGCTGCTGGCCAGACTCTGTGCTGCCAGATCTGCATCCCTGCTGCACCAGGATACCAGGTAATACTGCTGGGGCTAGCACAGGTGCTAGCTCCAGCCTCCCCTACAGCTACCCAGGACAATTTGCTGCATGCCCGGTGGGACTCTACGAATGACTGGACCACAGGTATAGATGGCTATACCCTGTACAGGAGAGATCATGTTAGAAGAAAGGGCAGGGGTGTAGCTCTCTATGTGAAAGAGCAATACACTTCCCTACAGGTGGAGATTGGCAACCAAGGAGGGTGACTTGAGACCCTCTGGATAAGAATAAGTGGGGAATGTGGTGAAGGGGATATAACACTAGGAGTCTACTACAGACTAGGGGTGTGCAAAACAGGCTGTATTTGATTCAGAATCTGATTCGGCCCGAATCGGGAACAGTGATTTGATTCATTGATTCAGATCATTGTCCCTGATTCGATTCGGCTGAATCCGAATCTAAAGATTCAATGCTGATTCAGAGAATCAGCGATTCGGCCATAGACAAAGTTTTAAATATATTTTCTACATACCTTGAAGTACCAGGTGCGGCTTGTGAATGCTGTGATGCTGGGGTGGATGCAGCGTCCCACCAGAGCGTGAAGCATGCTTGGCAGTGAACCTGGAAGTGGAGCGGAAATACTTCTGGTCTGCTTTCAGGTCCACTGGGAAGCATGCTGGGGGGCCCACCTGTGCCCCCCCGGCTTAGCGATGGGCCACGGGGGGACCCCGGGTGCCCCTCCCAGACCCAGGAGGCACCAGTCACTGAGCCGGGGGGGGAGGCGGGGGATGCAGGGGGACCCCCCGTCCACTCCCTGGCAGACCCAGAAGTGGACCAGAAGTGCTTCTGGTCCACTTCTAGGTCTTCTGCCGAGTGCACTGGGGAGCCCCCCTTGCTCCTATGGGACGCTCTGTCTGCCCCAGCATTGCAGCATTCACGAGCCACGCCTGGTACCTTGAGGTATGTAGAAAAAACATTTAAAGCTGTGTCTATGTCTAAATCTTTCTGAATGAATTCGGAGGGTTATGATTCAATTTGGAGAGATTAAAGGGTCTCCTGATTCGATTCGGATTCAGATCGAATCTCCGCCGAATCAAATCAGTGACTGAAGCTTTGCTCTACTACAGACCTCCTAATCAAGAGCAAGAACTTGACCATGAGTTTGCCAGGGAGCTGGCTGAGTCTGCACGCTCTCAGTGCATAGTTGTCATGGGTGAGTAACTACCCTGGCATCTCATGGGAAGAGCACTCAGCCAAATCTGATCAGTTGCAATCTTCCTCACAAGCATTGAAGAGCTTTGTCTCAAGAAGTCTACAGACCAATGAGGGGCAAAGTGCTGCTGGACCTGGTACTGGCCAAAGGGGATGATCTAGTCAGCAACCTGAGAATCAAAGGGAAGCTGGGAGGCAGTGACCACAAGTTGATCGCTTTCTCTATTCACCACAAAGCTGGCAAGTCAGTCAGCAATACAGAAGTCCTTGACTTCAGGAAGGCCGACTTTCACAAGCTTAGGAGGCTAGTTGTTCAGGCCCTGAGAAACCACAATCTGGCAGGGAGGAATGTCAGACAAGAAAATTCCAACAACTTCCCTAGGCAGCTTGTTCCACTGTCCTCCTGCTTGACAGTAAGGAAATCTTTCCTTTTCTTTGCTATGGTTTGAACCTACTGCTTCATGATCTCTGTGGCAATGAAGATCAGATTGCTTTCCTTTGGGTGCTTGTACACATAAGGGGAGTTTAGTCTGGTTGCATTCTTTGCTTCCTAAACTGAAACTCTTGGTTTTTAATTGAAACCCACCATTTCAACGTAGAGACTTCGATCACTGTTACAGTGAGGGGCATGACCTTTTATTCTCTGCCCCTCGATGGAGCCAAGCTGCCTGCGGGTCAAGCAGCCCCTGAGCTTTGGGGCGCCCTGGTCCTTCCCTCCGCAGTGGCAGTACCCCCCAGGGCTGCCCCGGTGGGCTGCTAGTGGGCCAGGTGCTGTTTCAAATCGGAGGCAGTACCCGGCCCGATCAAACTCTTCCCTGACTCTGAGCTGGAGCAGCACCCAGCCCACTACTGGCCCACTTAGGCAGCCCCGGGAGGCACCGCTTCTGCAGAGGGAAGGACCAGGGCTTCCCCACAGCTCAGGGGTCACTTGGCCTGCTGGCAGCTCAGCCCCCAGCATTGGGAGAGGTGGGTAGGCTCTGCCAAAAAAAAAAGGGACCAGGCCCCTTGTTGCTTCTGCCTTCAACAGCCACCTGCTGAAGGCAGAAGCAGCAAGAGGCCTGATCCTTTTCTTCTGTGGAGCCTGCCTGCCTCTCCCATGGCCGGGGAGGGGAGGGTGGTGAGCTGACTTGTAGCTACAACTCATCATTCCAAACTAAACTACATCAGGATGTAGTTTAGTTTGCAATGATGCAAACTCATTTAAAACCCCCAAAACTCCTGCATGTGTACAGCTTGACACCATTAAGCCACACAACATGACATTTTTGTCATGTGTACATGGTAATGGTGTCACATGTACAAGCACTCTTTATGGCCACCTTTCAAATATTCACCATCTAGAAGTGGATTCTTTTACTTAAGATCTCTGACTGTCTGGCGTTATCTAACCCCACTGAGGACATGAATCAGGATGCCATAACAACCTTTGTTCACCTTTGGATCTACTGGAGGTCCCTCCAACAGAGTTTTTCCATAAGGCTCCCCCAGCAACAGCGAGTCCACTGGCAGAGGGTGCAATGCAAGACACTTTCAACCACCCATCTGCAGGGAATAGCAGCAGCAAAGTGGTGGGCAGCTAAGCAAGACCCAGACATTCCTGTTGCTGACTCCAAAGGAAGATCTCCAATTATACTCAGTATCTCTTGGTAGAGTCCCCAAAGAATGGACATCTATGGGCACAGACAGAAGTGACAATTTTCACCTAATCTGGCCCCAGAAAGTGGTCTACAGCCATGACCAAACAGAAGTGCATGGCTGCAGATCATTTTAAAAGGGCCTGATCCCATGAAAATCTGAACCCTCACTGCACGAAGGTTCAGATGAACACACTCGGAAATGGAACACATCTATAACTTGTGACTGTGGAGCTCTCAACTTGTCACTGTTTTCAGAACAGGAGTGGGGAAAGGGAGTGGAAGGATTTTGGTCTAGAGTTTTTTCAGCTGGCACAGGAGGGTGGGTTGGGTGGATTGGAGCCCCGCCGAATTGTGGGGGAGGGCTCCAATCCACCCACCTCACCCTCCAGTGCTGGCTGGAGAACCCCAAGAATAAGCTTCCTTTGCTCTTTTTCCCTCCTCCCATTCTGAAAACAGCATCTGGGCTAGGAGCGGGGAGTGGCATTGTTATGGAGACCAGGCTGCAGGCTGGCAGCAAGTACCTGGAATCCCCAGCTCCTGGACCAACAGTTGATATCTGTTAGGCCCAAGGGATTTTTGTAATGTATAGCACTTCCTGCAAAGAACTATGAGTTGCAACAGGGAGCTGCTCTTCTGTCTGTGCCCTATGAAAGGATGACTCTTGTAGAATAGGGGGCCTCTGTTGGCCCAGGAACAAGTCATTAGCAGCTCCTGCACTAACAGGTGTAGAATTGATCTGTTTTGTTAGTGTCTCCATCCAGAAGCCGAACTACGAGGCACTGTTGACTTGTTTTCAATTGTCTTAGTAGG